GATCTCAGATTTTCTTGACATTGCAGCTAAGAAGAAAATAATACGGGTTTTTATTTTATTTTTTTAAAGGATGTATATTATAAAGGGGCAACTGGTCATTCACCAGAATCAGTGTTTTAAACAACTAGCAGCATTTAATATTTCCCAACTAATGAAAAAGATTACTTTTTGTCAGCTGAAAGGGGACAGGTGGGTGTGTAAATTTAAGTGTTGTAGTTGTTGGCATATTAGCTGCTATGTCTCTGTCGGAAATCAGCCAGGCAGAAGAGCATGCAGGGGAAGAAGCCTTAGGAGGGGAGCAGACTACAGCTAGTGAAGAGCAAATACAAGCAGTCAGAACTAGGAGTAGCAGAAATGAATAGGAAGGGCAGGGATAGAGCTACCCCCACCCGCCCTTTACCAGGTGTGCTCCACGTGTGTGGCACATGGCAAAGAGTCCTCACATTTACACTGCCCTTGACAAACACATTCTAAAAGCAGACGGAGTTTGTACTGAATATGTTCTGAGGCCCGCCCCCTGCTGATTTAATCCCCTCTCACCTTGTCCCACACCTCCTCGGTCATATCCATTAGGCTTCCAAAGAAAGGGTTGACAGCAGCATTGGAGACTAGGATATCGATACCTCCGTGAAGCTTCACAGCCTAGAGAGAGGGGGTGAGGTCTGGACCAGGGCTGCAGTAAGTAAGGGAGGTACATTTACCCATGTTGATAAAAACTTTCTTTTGAGCTATGCCCTGTGGCTCATACCTGTAATCATGGCACTTTGGGAGCCAAGGTGGGAGGATCACTTGAGTTGAGGAGTTTGAGAGAAGCCTGAGCCACATAGCGAGACCTTATCTTTATATTAAAAATAACAACAACAATGACAACAAAACCTTCCTTCTTAGGAACTGTCGTCAAAATAAGTTCAATTTCTTAAAACATCTTTTTTTTTCTGAAAACTACCCTAAGATCTGCTGCTAACCATTTAAGGTTGGCTTCCTTCTTTCTTTTTTAGATGGAGTCTTGCTCTGTCACCCAGGCTGGAGTACAGTGGCATGATCTCGGCTCACTGCAGCCTTGATCTACTGGGTTCAAGCCATCCTCTTGCCTCAGTCCCCAAAGTAGTCGGGAGTACAAGTACTTGCCACCACACCCCGCCAATTTTTGTATTTTTTGTAGAGACAGGGTCTTGCCCTGTTGCCGAGGCTGGTCTGGAACTCCTGAGCTCAAGCCATCCACCTGCCTCAGTATCTGAAATTGTTACAGGTGCGAGCCACCAGGAAGTTTGTCTTATATTCTTTTGCAGTCTTTTCTTCCCACCTCCTATTCTTCTAAGGCTGTCTCTGACCCTTTGCGCTTTTCTTTACACTTACCCTTTGGGAAGCTCCTTCATTCTCATGATTTCAAGTCTCATCTCAAAATCTATTTCTAGACCCCTCCTCTTCCTTTCACAGTGAGTTCCACCCCCATTTCTCCAAGTGCTTACTGTCCAGTTCTCCTTGAATAAGTTACCCTTATCTCAAAGTCAATTTGTCCACACTTATCTAAATGGAAAAACGGCTTAAATAGAGCTGAAGAAAGTTACCCTGGAGGGGCCTTTGAGATCATCTATTCCAATGTCCTTAAGGTGGAGATGAAGAAACAGGTTCAGGGAATTTTCTCAAGACCATATAGTTCAGTAGTGACACACTGAGGCTAGCTAAGAACAGGAGGCCTGCTTATTCTGTGTTTGGGAAAGTGATTTGCTCAGGGCACAAAGCTAGTTAGCAGTGGATGAACTGAGGTCAGTCTCCCATTCTGTAGCACACTGCTAATTCATAAGAGCCCTCTGAAAGTGAGTTGGGGTCATTAGGAAACTGACTGCCCAGGAGAGCCATGATGGGAGAAGATACCAGCCTGAAGTTAAAGCAATTCCATATTTAGTTATGATGTCATTTTCCCTATCTCTCTCTCTCTCTTTTGACATGAAGGCATGAAAGATTCAAGGTAGAAACTGACATTTAAACTGAGAAAGCCAAGAAAGGCAACATCTCACCTCCTTAATAAGGTATAAGTAGGTAGTGAGGCGTGTGCTAGAGTAATGAATGGCCAAGCAGAATCTGCCAACAAGAGTTTTCAGTACAAAGTGACCCTGAAACCAGACTTTGCATTTGCCCAGAACTGGCAATTTTGATGCCTTGGGCAAGTAGCAGTACATGGGCCATTGGTCAACTTTGTGCTTCGGACTTGGCACACAGAGGGGTGTTACTAATAATGTACACCATCTGCTAGCTTTCCGTTTTAACTAATTATTCTTGTTAACTAGGTACTAAGCTCAGTTGTTTCTAGACGGTTGAAGAAATGCCTGGGCTGTCAACATGTAAATCTAATAAAATTTATAGTCATATAATCTTTTGAAACCAGCGTTAATACTTTCCTGCACCCTTTAAATTTTGGTATCCTGGCATAAAGCCCAGTCACCTGCCTTGGCTCTGTATAATTCTCACCAATGGACTTGTTATTAGGGAGGTGCAGAGTAAGTTAAGTGATGTGCGCTGTGCCGAGTACACGTGTGTTTGAGCTGGGAGAAGACAGTGGATTGCTCTAGAATCACCGGGAGACATTTTCTACTCTGCTGTATACCTCATGCCCCTCTCCTTCCAGGTCTGTCAGCACAGAGATGGGCGGAGGCTGGGTTTTGACTGAACAGAGATAGCAAACCATAAAAGATGAATGAGGCTGGGTGTGGTGGCTCACACCTATAATCCTAGTACTTTGGTAGGCCCAGTATGGAGGATTGCTAGAGGACAGGAGTTCAAAACAGCCTGGGCAATACAGTCCCAACTCTACAACAAATTTAAAAAACGAACTGGTGTGGTAGTGCATGCCTATAGTCTTAGCCACTTGGGAGGTGGAGGTGGGAGGATTGCTTGACTTCAGGAGTTGCAGGTTACAGTGAGCTATGATCATGCCACTGTACTCCAGCCTGGGAAACAGAGTGAGGC